CTTGCACAGAAACTAAGAATTGAACACTCTAACATTTATCTCAGAATAAGTAAAATCTATTTCATCCAAATCTCAGTTTTTAATCAAGGTGCAGAAAATAAACAGGTGTCTTCTATTCCGTCCGCAATTTTTGGGGAAAGTAAAATCTAAATTTAGAACCATGGTTGAAACTGAAACAACACATGTATAATAAAAATAGAACATGTTATATTTTCTTTATCAAATTCCAATTTCGAAATAATAGCGAAATTTGTTTTCTTTTGTTGTGCTTTTGTGTATCATTCAAAAGTAGTGAATACAATTTTGATGTAATTTTTTTCTTCTCAAGTCTCAAATGAAGATTATGATGGAATAGAGTATAAGAGTAAAAGGTAGGGGAAGAAGGGGGAGGTGGTGAAGAAAATAATGTATACAATGTCGGGGCCTTTTATAGCCAACTATACGGCATGGGTTTTTCTCTTTGTTGAAGGCCGTATGGTAACCTATAATAATTAATTACATCCACTTCATTTAAGGTAGCTGGGGTGTCTAAATGTTCGACGATAGATTTTTCTTAAAACTTCTTTAAAAGACTTCTGGGTCAATGTAATTTCAAATTTCAATATAAAAACTGGGGATCACGGACCTTGTTTTTTCGTAATAATACATTGAAATTAACGAAATTTGGGTTATTTTATATTGTTTATATAGGGGAAACTTAAGTTTTCCTTATCGAGGAAACATTAAAAGATAGAATTGGCTAAAATTCGATGAGAGAATTGCGTTTCATTAATACTTCTGAAATGTCAAATAAAAATAGGGGTCACGGGTCTTATTTCTTGAAAAAATCCCTAAAATATTAAATATACTTGACGACAATTAATTTTTTGATAGTTCTTTAAATTTCAAGTTTTATGTATTTTGTTGTATATTGAATGATACTTGGTAAAATATTTTTAAAACAAAAATGTTTTATGACCAAAACGGACGCTCAGAAAAAGACACTCAATCTACCTTAAACTGTGGCAGATAGTTGTCTCATTTGCAATCATACCACATCTCCTTATTTTTATATTATATTAACAAAAAAACAATTCGTTTGCATTATATATATGCACAATTCGTATGGCACTACACTAGGTAAACTCGTAAAGCATTACATTATGAACAGTCTCCTTGCATTACACTAAGTACATTCTAATAAAATTACACTAGGTGCATTGTGATAAAATTACACTAGGTACATTTTTTTAATGCATTTTCATACTAGATGGATACATTCTCATAACATCGCCCTTGGTACATTCTCATAGCTTATCACTATACACAAAGCTTTAGCATTACACTATTCACAATGCTATAGCATTAAAATATACACAATATACACAATGCTAAGGCATAAAAGTGGGAATGATCTGTGCTACGGGAAGTTATATCAAAAACTCCGATCTGTTCTATTTTGCTGAAATTCATGTTAGGGTTCTTCTTTTGCCCTAATTACAGCCATAAAAATTCTCAAAATAATATGCAGATGCAATTTTCTTATTTTTTTGAAGTTGTGCACCTGACAAATAAAATGGGTTTTGTGCGCAATACCTCGAATAGCGCCGGAAATGATGAGGATGAAAAGATGCAGAAAATTATATTTACTTTTTTATATACAAACATGCAGAAATAAGATTAAAAAAGACGAGCATACGCGATCCCAATATTATAACCGATTATCTAAATATGTATAGAATCAATCTGTCAACGCTGTATTAACCGGTACAATTTCAAACTCGATATTTGATTCATAAAAATTAGAACAATACAAGCATTTCAAAAAGATGTGGAACCATGTCTAATTTAGAAAAGATGGAGTTAAAGTCTATACAGTAACTTTCTTTCACTTGCAGTATATTTATTTGCAAATTAGCATTTTATTTTTGGCAGCAGAAATATCCTTAAAAATTAGTCAGTTTATTTCCTTATCAATTGATTACGTCGCCGAATATTTTTTATTTTTTTCGCTAATAATCAAACTTCCACATGATATAGCTTGAAAACTAGCACGGTTGCTAAGGACTTTCTTTGCACCAATGGAATCGTTGTTCATTTTTGAATCGTATATCGATTTTTAAAAAAATTCTGTGGACCAACGAATTAGAAAATCTTGATAAAGTAAAAATATCTGCCAATTTTTATGATTTTTCCTATATATCCTTTGTATTTTTGGCGTATCATGCTGTTAATTTCAGCAGCTTGTACCTGAAAAACGAAAACGGTTACCCCCTTTTTTATTTTATTTTCTGATGTATTTTTACAAGCAGAATCCATATGTAAAATTAAAAAAAATTCTGTGAAGTAGTTTATTACGAACACTTCGCCTTAATTAACACTTTGTTAGGTAAAGCGAATAAATTGAAAAAAACATTGAAAACAAAGCAGTGAAAAAGCTTCATATTTATCCTGAACACCTAAATGCATGTTGTTTTTTTTTCCAAGACCAGGCAATGGGTAATTCATTGTTAGAAAACATTTTCAAAGTTTTAATAATTATGTGTTCAAATTAAAAGTTATGCAGAAAATTAATTACCAATTAGCTTTTGACGTTCAACTTATTACATAACAAGTAAATATGTTTTAAGTTTTATTCTATATATATATATATATATATAGAGGTGTTCGCCACATAATACACTACTACATGTCTTATTTATTTCATTTTTATTCAGTAATGAATCCACATACATGTGGTTTACTTGGAGAAGGGTTAGAAGTATGGAAGGGAAATGAAATTATGTATCTATGCAAGTTTTACCAAAGGACGATTGAAAACATTATTTCCAATTGCTTATTCTAAACTTCAGTTCGTAAAATATGTATCTATGCAAGTTCTACCAAAAAGACGATTAAACACGAAAGGCGTATTACTACATAGTCGGTATTTCATAAAATATACCATATCTAGGAACGCTAGATAGAGATAGAAAAATTAGAGTATGTTGAATCATATTTGCAAAAAAATGATAAGGATGGTTAAGATATTGATAAAGTTGAACAATCTATATCTTCGGTTTTAAGGTTGAAAAAAAATGTTTTTTTAAGCATTAACTGTAACTTTGCTTTTGTAACAATAACTATTATGAGTTTCTGCGTATGGAATGATCATTGATATGATATGCAAAGGGGACAACTTGCTATTTGACAATCTATGATAACTATGATTCTATTCTAGATAAACTAAACAGTTATTTACATAAAATTGAAATTTCGTAAGATAGTTTCTTTCTCAAAATCGTGCTTTACATAGTTTCTGCATTCCACAGACATGCATATAAACAGGGTTAGATCAGAGGCATGTATAGGGTTCAATTCAGTAAATAAATATACGTCATCATGGACCGCCCATTTTGGGGAGAGGTTTCTGGATAACACTGAAGACCTGTGCTTTACTGATTTGTATTAATGTTTGAAATGAATATTTTTTAATGAGATTAAATATAAAAAAAATGAATGTTGAATGCATTTATCTTTATTTTACTAAAAATTGAAAAGTAATGTTAGTGTAGGAATTTAGTGCAAATCTACAGTATGTGTAAACAAAGCCCAAAACTGGCGCAAGACCCTATAAAAAAATAAGGAGATGTGGTATGATTGCCAATGAGACAACTATCCACCATAAGTCAAATAAAGTATATGTAAGCAATTAAAGGCAACCGTACGATTTTCAACAATGAGATTTGATTGTTGTAAAAGATGAGGATACATTTGTACTTAAATGAAATATATATGAAAGCTTCTGATTTCTTATGGTTAACCAGGCATAAATGTAGTTCAAGAAATAGGTTTGCATTGAAGTCAATGGGAGTATTTATACTGATTTTACCCCTATGCTATGATAGCTGATGCGGTACATCCGGACGATGGTCTTACTGAAATATGGATATATCGTATCAATGATGTCATCTCACAAAATGAAAAAAATTATAGAGTGATTTAAATGATAAACTGATTCATATGTTGTATTTGACCTTAGAATATTCTATGAATATGTTGTTTTTTCTATGCATAGTGGCACTTGACGTAAAAGTTGAGTTAAATCGGTTTATGAATCATCGAATCATTCATTTATCATTTATCTACATATTCTTGATTCTAAATGACTTAACGTGAGGGTACCCAAATTGCACCTATTTTAACAGTTTTTTCACCCACATTTATCTTTGATCCAGACAAAAGTTTCCTTACTGTGTTTATTTTGTAAATGTATCCTCATTTACTATATAGTTCCACCAATTCAATTTTAAATCCATATTGAAACATAGAAAAATGGGTTTGAACCCATCTCCAAACGATCTATGATTCTGTAATGAGGAGTACCCAAATTGCATCCATGCTTAAATTCACATCCGTAAAAATCGAATAAATGATGTTTTGCTTTATTTCTCCAAATATTTAGAATAATTTGACAATCGTCCATGCTGATTATTCATTTTTTCAAGAAATGCATGTCTGTAAAAAGTAAAATAACAAAAATACCGAACTCCAAGGGAAATTCAAAACGGAAAATCCTTTATAAAATGGCAAAATCAAAAGCTCAAACACATCTAACGAATGGAAAACAACTGTCATATTCCTGACTAGGTAACATATTTTGATTGCTCATTTGACTTTCTGTGGACGTCGCATGGCGACGCTTCCGTAGATTTTACTTTTTTCTAGAGGATACTCTATATGTTGATATAAATACTGTGAACGTTTTGTGTATATTTAGATATATTTAGCTATGTTGAAAGACATGCATAATGTCAAATCATACAAATACAAATTGTTTAGTCTCTAAGAAAAGATTTCCGCTGTTATTTTTGCTAAATGGATGCAATTTGGGTACTGTGATGTTAGATAGAAACATGACTTGCGAAACACACTTTATTACTATGACTGTTTTACTGTGATAAATGATCAATAAAACGACTACTAGACTTAGATCTTTAAATTAATTACATGACCTCGACCTTTTTATACTTGTATAGGTCATATCGTGTGTTTATGTAGTTATACCTCGTTGGCATTAGAACAAATCCGTATAATGAAGGCAAATCTAGGAACACGATTCGGTAGGAACAATTAATTTTATAAAGTGTTATTTTCATTTATTTTTTGCATGACATTCATTATCTATATCTAAAGTAGTATTTAGGGCTATGCATTAACTTTAGTCCGCAATAAGTCATTAACTTTGTGTGAACATATTTAGTATTGTTTTATACTTTCCGTTTTATATTAAAATGCATTATTCAATTTAATTTGGAAATATTTTTCTTAAACACACTGATAACTTTTTGATCGTAAAGGCAACGGTTTCATTTGGGTTTTTTCCTAATGTCAAACACATATATATCTTAAGGGAGATTTCGAGTGAAAGTGTTTTTAATCTCATCATACACGTAATAAAGAACCTTAATCTAATACTTTCAAGGCAATAATTATCTTTCTGGTTTTTATGATCTTTTATAGTTCCAAAGCCCAAGATTTTTTCCAGAATAAATATAATGAGGTTGGGCGGCTTTTTGTATTTACCATACTGTAAATCTAAGTGTTTATAAACAGAACACTGCTTGAACGATTTTTTTTAACACTTTTTGAACGTGTAATGGTGTTCCAAATGTTTACACTAGTGTTCATCAATTGAATGTGTGGTGTTCAGTTTTTAATGCCTTTGTGTTTCATTTTTGAACACTTGATGTTAGAGTTCTTAACACTCAATGTTCAACGATTTAACGTCTCCGAATGTTCAAAATCTTAACACGTCGACAGGTTCAACAGCCCTGTAACACTTTTTGAACACATAGAACATGTTCAAGAACAAAAGTGTTAAGATTCAGAACACCAGATGTTCACTTTCAGAACAGTTGACTAAAGTGTTCAAAGTGATGGTGTTAAAATGTGGAACATGTTCTATTTTCAAGCGTACATAATTATCGTAAGTACTCAACTTAAACTGTTATAAAACTATATTCAATTTAGGCAAAATATAACAATAAATACATCTTTTAACGAGAAATTTTTTATGTAATCACATACATTTTGAAAAAAACAACAGACTTAAATATATTACAAATAATGGTTTTTCCCTACATTATTAGATCGTTTCTACATGCTCTGTATCCTAACCAAAATAGCATGTCAATGTGATAGGTGAACAGTTTATAATATAAATATTTTTCACAACGAAAGTTTCAAAAATTACAAATTCCAACAGTTCTTGTACAACATGTACAATAGCTACTTCAATGACACTGGTGTCATCACATACAATGTATGCTCAACTTTTCGGTGCATCTTCTCTTAAATCTATCAATTGGGTGGCATTTTATGTGTTGTTATCATTTTCCAATGTCAAAATCATCCACAACAAGGAATGTCTATGAGCCTATATATCCTGCAAAATAAAATTTAAAATTAATAGTAGAAAGTTTTTCATTAAGCATCAAATTATGCAATGCTTGTTATGCTTTAATGTTGATATATAATAGAGTACAAATTGATATTCTATGGCAATGAAATGCAAGTTTTGAATTAAAAATTACAAAAGTCGATAACTTGACCTATGGTGAACAGATAGAAATGATACACCCAAATAAGCTATTAATATTCATATATTGTCATACCTTTTTTGACATCTTTCTATTTTTCCACCACCGTGTAGCATGCAGAAATTACCTTCTTGGGATTATTGGCTACCGGTTCCTAATTCAAACATTTTAATCTAACGATTCCTGCAAATAAAATAAAACGAATGCATTTTCTAAGTCAAAAATGCTTTTCATTGCGACAGTATCGTGGCATGAAGTAAAGGTTTTCTTATATTTAAGCTGGACCCCATTAAATAACATCACAGGTAATACAAGTATAAATGTTAATTTCACAGCTTTAAATGTGTTTTGTTAAATGAGGGTCTGGATTAGGATAGGTCCTTCATTTTATATTTTCTAAATGTTTAGGCCTTTTCTCTATTCGTATTATTTTGTCCATTATTCTCTATGCCTTATATTGTAGCATCTCATTATTCTCCATCTTTATCATTTTAGTCTATTTTTCTTATTTTGGTACTTTATATTCTCTATTCTGTTAACCCCACCCGGTCCTTCTTATGTATTTGATACCTGATACTTCCTTGGTATAATATTTGTTTTGTTACTATAAATAGTTACGGGGGAACCCCGTTTTTGGATGTTTATTTGTGTTACAAAAAAATATTTTCAAAACAACTCCGATGTGTAGTAATCCTATAAATGGTTATTAACACAATTCCTCATTTCAAATTCTCTTTTATTTGGCAATCATCTGCCGATAAAGGATGATCTTTCCAAGTTTGTGTTTACTGTCAGTGCTATTTTGGATTTTTGGGAAGTAGGGAGATACTTTTCTTACTGGGAACTTTTCATTCGCCTTATTATACAGTTCGACTTCTTCTGTGTCTCAATATAAAAAGTAGAATCACAAAAATACTGAACTCCGAGGAAAATTCAAAAACGAAAGTCCCTAATCAAATGGCAAAATCAAAAGCTCAAAAACATCAAGCGAATGGATAACAACTGTCATATTCCTGACTTGATACAGGCATTTTCTTATGTAGAAAATGGTGGATTGAACCTGGTTTTATAGCTAGCTTAAACACTTTGAACTTTTGAGACTTTAAACTGTTCTGCTTCTTATATTTCATTTTTAAGGTCTAATTTTATCGATATCCTAACGCTTTATATATATATTATGAGGGTAAGTTCTTTGGTTATACTTGACCAATGTTGAACTGAGACTACTATAATAGTAGTCTCAGAATTGAAGCACCAAACAGATTTGTTTTCTTTGATAAATATTTGATAAGTTACGTTTTCAAATGTAGGCGTCATGTTGTTTACGTGTTTGTTTATTTTGATATTAATTATTTATGTAGTTTTCAACGCGTTGATGATTGTTATTGCAAAGATTATTTGCTATATACATATTCTTTTTCTTTTTCCTTTCGTTGTCCTTTTGTTTTAATGAAAATTCAAAATTTATACCAGAGTTATAGCCACGTGAGAGTTGGTATCTGGGGCGATATAACATGTTTTTCTATTAAAAAGTTTGCATGTTCAAAATCAACTAGGGGTAACATGTTTCTATCCTGTTACCTGTCTGGTAGAATATTCCTTTCTACAGGTTAATCTACCAGAGAGGTATAATATTGTCGCTTTCTCTACTTTTGCACTCAGCTCTCAACCTTCCATAGCTCTTCTATGCTCCTGTTGTCATCAAAACCACTTGTAAATTCGCTACCATCAGCACGAGATATTTTCTTTACCTTTTCATATGTCCTCAATGCTAGTTGAATCTTCTTTCATACCCAAATTCTTTAGGCGTTGAGATTTTTGTTTTCTACAGTATAACGACTTTAACCTACAGCTGCGTAAAGTTGCTGTTTTCTAAAATTAACTTTATATATGTAATCTCTCTTTACTCGAAATGCTGTGTTTGCTGTGAGAATAACACATAAAGTGTTTCCTGTTTATTTTCTTTCCGAGGAAATTTATTCTATGTTTTTATATGCTTTCTGGTTTGATGATTCTGGATTCCAGTATTCTTCCAGATGTTCTTTGTAAGTGACAATTTTCTTGTTGTCTTAATTTCCTGATAGTCTACTTTGCTAACCCATCAATCCATTAGCCTGCTTACTTTGTATAAACAGATAAATATGAAAATGTGGTTTTATTTAAATGTGATCGTATTTGGTAAAACGCATAAACTGTCTTTGATGCTTCCGAAAAATTGTCGCCATTTGCTTGATTTCACACAGTCTGAGATGTATTGAGTACATTGATCATGTTTTAGCAAAGGTCCTGTACTGTATTATTATAAAAATATCAGACAAAATAGATCTTTTATTCTTTCTTGCAAATCGTAAGCTCACTATTTCATTAGTTAAAACAAATATACTATTTGTAAATCTTTAGTGTTTTCAAAATATTGCCCAATACGTGTGTCTAGATATATTTGAATAGCTCATTTGGAAAACTTTTTTTATTTTTCGGATCTCAGCTGGTGGATTTAAATGTTTAAAATAAATGGAATCGGGACGATTAAAATCTTGACATTATAATTAACAAAATCAAACATTAGTGGAAACCAAAAAAAGGATCATTTCAAAATTTTATACTGCTTACTTTTTCCTATCGCTACTTTCGGAATATTATTTCCACCTTTCAGACACTGTTTTTGAGTCCATTTTCTGAAAGGTCAGTAAGACATTGCACTTCATGCTTTTTTTCAAATTTAATACGAATATAGATAAAATGAAACGTGAGAAATTAAAGAGACAGCAAGCACACGACACAGAAAACTAAAAGCCATCTTTTAGCTAAACCATTAAATTAACCAAAATATAACAACAAAGAAATATGTGAATACTGAAAGTATGAGGCCATAACGAAGCATAAAATTTAATAAGTGTTATTTTCATACTTTTCCTTTGAAATAGTGTGTATAAAAAGCTGTTGGAAATTTATAAGAACCTCATGGAATACTTTTCTAAATAAACATATTCGAAAAAATCTTAAAGTCGGCGTTTACATTCAATAAATGACAAAATACAACACGAGCTGTAAGTCCTTTATTTTAACGATTCTGTCAAAATAATTTGTACTGTCTAAATATGCAATAAATCCATTTAAGCCTAGGTACCTCCATAGGCCTGTAAATCTCGTGGATAGTCACGTATCAGTTTAAATTGTTAGTCAATGGAAAGGCATATATAATGAATACCAGCCAACGGGACATAGACCCTATGACTAAGTTTCTTAATATAAAATCAAATAAAAACACTATCTGTAATTGTCTTTTTAAACGAGAGGATTTTGTAAAACATATAATTCTCAAAGTTTTGCAGCGCTAATTAAATAAACTGTATTAAAATATATTGTTGAATAATGGTTGAAATTAAGAATACAAAGATTAAAAGTTTACAACATAATGAATACTTTTATTACCATAAAGGGGTATAATATGTTAACTTTTACAACAGGTCATACAAAAATGAAAAGATTAAATCAACCAACTTCTTTTGTTTACAACACAG